GAAACATGTTCAAAAATATTTATTTTCTGTCTTTGATCACATTTCACAAAGACGCCAGTGCCAAATGGTCTGGTCTTTTGACAATCCTGTTGAATTGAAAATATCATTACATGGTATCCTTCATTGCTTGTGATTTGTCTTTATTTACACTTATAAAACTTTATTTCAGGAATCATCCATTCTTGGTATAGCCTCTACATCACAGGAAAGCCCAAGTTTAATGGAAAGTGAAAAGCTAAGAGTTACTCTGTTAGGTAGTGAATGGAGCTCATCTAAAGGAGGCTTGTCAACTATTAACAGGGAGCTGGCAATTCAGTTAGCAAAACATCCCAATGTTGATGTCAGTGTGTATCTTCCAAGTTGTAGTGATGAGGACAGGAGAGCTGCCAGTAGCCATAAAGTTCAGCTGATTGAAGCCCAAGAATCCCCTGGTTTTGATCAGCCAATTGATTGGTTGGTTTCTTTACCTAATGGCCATTATCCACACTGTGTCATAGGGCATGGAGTACATCTTGGTCGACAGATACCACACATTCAAAAGCAGCAACCTTGCAAGTGGATCCAGGTTGTTCACACAGCTCCAGAAGAACTTGGAATGTTCAAAAGTTATGAGGAAGCCATTTCCAGAGGTGAGAAGAAACATCGTGCAGAAGTACGACTTTGTGAGTTAGCTGATGAAGTGGTTGCAATTGGACCAAAGCTGGCAAATGCCTACTCTCGCTACCTTCGCTTCTGCAAGAAAGATCAGCATGTATTCAACCTCACTCCAAGTATTTTTACTGAGTTCAGTAACATTGAACAGGCCTCAGAAGAAAGGGAGAACTTTTGTGTTCTAGTTTTTGGGCGTGGTGACCATGAAGATTTTGAGCTGAAAGGATATGATATCGCAATGGAAGCAATTGCCCAATTGAAAGACGAGTCATACCAGCTAAAGTTTGTTGGCGCACCTGAAGGAAAAGAGAAAGAAGTGGTAAGCAAGTTGCTTCACTATGGCATTCCTCGTAGTCAACTAACTGTTCGCTGCTTCAAAGAAGATCGAGAACAGCTAGGCAATTTATTCTGTGAGGCTGATCTGGCAATCATGCCTTCAAGAACTGAAGGATTTGGTTTGACTGGGCTG